GCAAATGCGAGGATCAGAAATTAGAAAAAGCTCGCCCGCCGCTCGTCACTGCGGTAAGCTAAATCCACGGTACAATGACGCTCGAGAACTTCCCGGCATTCGAGACGTGAAAAACGCGGACTATCAGCGAGTCGCATTTTTCTTTTCCCCCTTGTACTCTCGTAATCGAGACGCATCGCGGCTCTCATCCGCACACGCGGGAGTCGTTACCTCCTACAGATTGGGGGAAGTTTCGTCGTTTCCCCATATGGCACCGGAGGCACTCTAATCTCCGGATGACGACGGTTTTCAAGTCGTGGACGACACGAGCGTGTGCGTGGCTTTCCACCAAAGACAGAGCCAATACATCAGATTCGAATGGTGATTTTTTAGCGTATAAAGCTAGCAATTTTTCGATGTCTTTGTTAAGTCATGTTGTAGGAAAGAAACATTTGAGAGTCCACTGTTTCGAGCAACATTTTTTTATACAGTTAGTAATTATGGGGCAATGGTATTCATATAATTAACATTTATGCAATTTAGATTACGTATAATGTTGTATAATTTTGTGGTTCAAAAATTTTTTCAATTTTAAATGGGAAATATGCAAAAATATTTCGGAATATAATTGATACACCAATAAAATCATCTTTTTTAAAACTCGATAAATTAACTTTAATGTTAGAAAACTATATTTATAATAATTTTGTTAATTTCTCGAACAAATGGTTTGAAATACATATATACGTAGTTGAACGACTAAAGTTATCAATTTAACATATGAATTCGCCCTTGCGGCGGCTCTGACAGTGGATCGTTTTTGATAACGAAAGACTGACACAAGACACAAGTTTTCGATACTTTTTCCATCTTTTCGCGGGCCGGATACATGCGCGAAGGAAATACGCGTATAGTGTTTCACGAAGGGAAATAAGCGCGGATTGTTTTCGAACGACCAGGCGGGATTTTATCGGAGTATCGATCCTCGAGCGCGGGAAGTCGACGGATCTATTTCCGGAAGCTATGAAATAAAGCGTCGTGCGTTTAGCGATATTGAAGTTGGAGTTATAACCGTAAATATATTTATGACAATATAAATTGCGAGCTCGGGAGCGCGTTCGTTGCTTTGACTATTTTTTTTTTTTTCGAAAACGTTACTCCATTTTCGATATCGTATTATTGAGAAGTGAAGCAAATTGAATAAGAGTAGAAACAGTATCTATTTCTTACATCTATTCTCAATTTCTCTATAATCAAAAATAGAGCGTTATGAATAACATATGCGATATTTGACGTTCTGCAACAGAAAATAGAATTGTAAAGTTACTTCATATAACTTTTCAATTAAATTTTGTAATTTACAATTAATTATCGGTTATACATATTTGTTCGCGCAAAATACATTAAAGCGTTTATTTTAGAAGTATATCAGTTTTCTAGAACTTTTAGAAATCGGGATAGTTAATGGAATATAATTTTGGCATGCGTGGTAAAAGCAGAGAACGAGGGCTGAAGTAAAAGAAAAATATTTCCGAGAAATTTAGTTCAGATGTCACAGACAGATAGCTAATTTGAAAATTAATCAGAGAAGAAATGATTCGACCTTTCGAAAGTATGTATGAAAATAACGTAAGAGGAAATAACGTATTACGAGGTGATCTCGATTTTATTATTAAGATATTATTTTATCTTTAATGCGCGATTTTTCACATATTTCAGAAATAGCATGAGCTTCCTTAAATGAATATTTTTACTTTTTATATTTATCGTATATTTATATTGAATATTTTTCAAATTCTCGAGCTTATGCTTATTGCTTGGGGTTGTGTTTCGACTTATATTTATTGCCAAACCGCCCGATTCAATTTATTAAAGTAGAATTGATGATCCTGCGAACCGACCGTTTGTCACGAAGCCAACTACACCGTGATTCGGTTACTGAGAACGCATCTGACATCTCGAAGGGTACAGTTGGCGTCGGCGGTGATCTCAAGAATGAGAACATAATCCACACTGCGGAGAGTAATAAACTCTCGCGCGAGTACTCGTACCGACACGGAAATAATCCGATAATCCCATTAGACGAGCTTCCATAAAATCGTTAATCGTCGGTCCGCCGCGCCGCCGGCCCGGCGGACGGCTAAATGCCGGTGCTCTAATCCTGGTTCGGTATTCACATCGGTTTCGAAGCCACATCCGCAGTGCGGTGAAATCAACCGCGCGCAGCACGTTCGCGAAAAGCGCGTCTTACTGTCTCGCTTGGCGATTGTGCACCGATGAGTTTCACTGAGCGGTGCTTCGAATGAAAATACTGGGATTAACTATCACGAACACCTTTTAGCTTTGTTTTACTATATATTTAAAGAAAAAAGATACGAAAGTTCAAATACCCTTTAAACTATGTGAAATCGATTTTTCTTTTGTAAAAGTGAATATTAATAGTTTGCCGAGATTTTCCGAATTAAAAGCATCGACGGTGAAAAAGTAGGAAAAAATAGAATAATTCTTACAAATTAAAGCGTTTAATAGTATTTTTTCAGGCTTTACTTTTTATTTATTATATAGAATTATTTATATATAAAAAAGAATTATATAGAATTATTTATACGAAAAAAAAAATTATTTATTCCATCTCTTTCTTTCTGGTTGTTTTTAGATATTTTATATAAATATAATTCCCGTTGTAAATAGGTTGCAAATTGAATGATCACAAACGCGTACAATAAAATACGCGGTACAAATTTCCTTTCGAAGGATAGCCGATAGCAATTTTCTGCCGGTGGTTGTCTAATCTATCGAAAATAACACGAGGAGAATGTTTCTGTTCCTCATTAGCGACTCCATTAGCGGAATGCTCGCGCACGATATTAGGGCGCAATGTAAATTGGCAGGATTAAATGCATCGGACGATTGCATCAATCTCATTAAACGGCGCATAATGTTTGGCGAGAGAGGGAGGAAGAAGAGAGAGAAACGAGGAGAGCGCGGCGGTCGGTTAGTAACGATGTTTGGGGATGCTCCGATAATTATCGACTCGTTGTTTGCATCGGACAAATCGAAAATAATAGAATATTCGAGCGTTCGACCGAATGCCGGTATCTTTGCATCTTCCGTTCTCCAAAAGCGGGTATTTTTATCGTCGAAAATTCTATGCATAATTATGCGAAGTTATGCAAAATATTCATAAAGTTTTTCTTCGCCCGAATCGTCATGTATGACGATCCGAATATTTCAATTTCATTTATTATTATAGTATTTTTTACTCTCTGTGCGCGAATAATGTCTCGTATGAAAATCGCGATGTCACCGCTCGCTGTTACTCCTCGGAAATAATAAAGTGCGGTTTGCGGATGAGTCGTTCTAAAACGACGCTCACTTTTGAATGTAAATTGCGTGAATGGAAAAAGTTAGGAAACGAAGTGCACGCGTAACAATGTTTGAATAATCATTTTCATTCTTTAATATCGCCAGTCCGTTCCGCTACTATTTGCGTTATCTTTCGCTAATCTGATTATTGCGTGAATTATGGAAGCAAACCGAAAATCACAAAAGAAAAATATATACGATTGAAACGTATAAATTCGTCCGGCAATATAAGTGGGATAATTAAAGAAAATTGCAGCATGGAATCTGAGTGATTTCGAGCTGACCATCCGTGTGTGGCCATTCGCGTTCTGACAATGCTTTAAAGTAAAATAAACATTTATTCTTCCGTCAATTACGATATGTTGGATAACAAACAATCGGCATGACGACACAGTCGTCGATCTGCACATAAATCTAATTCAGCGCTTTGATTCGCATACAGTGACATTATTAAAATTCTAAAGTTTTCAATTAATATTTCACATCGTTTTAAATGGTTCTCGGAACACGCGGAGCATAAAATGTGCAATTTCTACAATCAAAAGATCGGGAACAATAGTTCAACTCGCAGTTTGAGTACTTGTGGGGAAACTGTTTTAAAATTAAATTTAGATTAATCCAAGCCTTCAAAAATGTTAATTGAACTACTTTTTAAATTTATTTTATCTTCTCTTTTCGCTGTTAGTCGCACGCTCTGTCAATATGAGGTCTCGAGTTGTTGTGTCAATGATCGAAAAGATGATGAGGGGGGCTTCATCAGGATTGTACGTACGTGATTCGTAACCGCGGGGCACTTGATCAGACCTGATTGCTGTTCACAATGAGCTTATTATCCCTAAGAAGCTAGAGAAATCTTAACGGCTAGACCCGATTCTTAGCTACTTCATATACGCTATGTATATATACGCTGCGCTCGTAGGTACAGTATGGCTCCTAATGTGATAACTGCTAAGTATGTCCTAAAAATAGCCTAATGTCCTACCTGTCGGTGAAAAATGAGCACGCGCCGCTCGCGCGTTACTCACGGCTGCTGTGTGCACTGACAGTAATATCTTCACGGTGTACCGCGAGGCACCGCGTTAACGTAAAGTCGATCGATCCCTCTCTTCTGAAAACCCTGAAACGGAGATACCGCCGCCCGATGAAGTGCGTTATCCGAGAAGATCCTTGAGCAGGCGTGAAATAACGATGATTAATGTCCTGACGATCGGCTGTGGTGCGAGAAATAAAAAGCGCATGAGATAACGCGAATAACATCTCGACGAAGTTTCTCTGTGAACAGTATCACAGTATTACGAACAATCTCGATCGCGCGACCGACGGGAAAGAGAACCCCGATAATTAGACGTGGATGAATGCGAATGACGAATGATTGTTCGATGAGACTTTCTTCGTGTTCGTGGAGTGTCGCTTCTCCCCTCAAGAATCGATCTCTCGTCGACGTCTCGTTGGTTGATTAAATCAAATCCGACGGAAATCGTAATGGCGTAGAAACTACGTACAACGTGATTGAAAAAGTGCTAAAATAGCGATTGGCTTTTTCCTATGGTTCGTTCTTTTCCACGCTTCCCCCTCTCTCTTCATTCTCACATTCTTTCTCCCTCTCTTTCTCTCTCTCTCTCTCTCTCTCCTCTCTTCTCTCTCTCTCTCTCTCTCTCTCTCTCTCTCTCTCTCTCTTTCACTTTCGCACACGCACGCACACTTCATCTCTCACTCACGCTCTCTTCACGTGTTGTCCCTAACTTCCGCTTTGTTTGTCTTTCCTCCTGCGTCTCTCGTTACTCGATTACAGCTTAATTATTACAAAGATGGTTGTACAATAATATAATATAGACTCTGTATTAGTTACAATAATATCGTAGCATCCTACACGTCGCGTCCGGCCTTCCTTTGTCCACGTAATCGCGAAAAACGGAACCGATTAATCACGTTCCTTTCTTCGAGTTAACATCTACACGCTTGATTACTCCTCGTCGTTATCATTCTCTCGAGCGTGCCGCTGTATATGTTTGTGTCTTTGTATACATGTCGTGTGTCTTTATTGCTTATTGCTTAACGTTAACGTTTCGCGCCGAGCAGGTCGCGGAGGAAACGTCGTCCGTGCGCATCCCGTAGCGATTAAGCTGATCGATTGCTCTCGGGAGACAAAGACCTCGACGTCGTCACCGCGCGTTTAACGTTAAAGGTAGTCCCTCGGACTTTACGGTGACGTCGCACGCGATCTTCATCCCCGACGAAGGAAACTCGGGATCGAGCGCGGCGGCGTTCACGTCGCGTCTCTAACGAGATGCTAATGAGGCGAAAATATAGATCAAAAGATCACACGTCTGCTTTTCGCGCGAAGGAATCCTTCGCGGCACGACTTCTCGGCGGCCTCTCGACGCGTGAATGAAGAAAAATGCGGTGAGCCGCGAGCTTTGAAGATGTGAGCCAGAAACTTTAATTTTATCTGAAACTCTCTTGATTTTTTTAATTTCTGAAACTTCAATGAAATAATATTATACATTTTTTTTCGGTTAGAGGATTTCATAATGCCAATTAAAAATCATTGTCCCATTTTCTCTGTTTCGCTTCTCGAAGGACGAGCGACTCACCGATCACTTTCCTTTATTCTTCGTCGCTTTGTCAGGACGTGCGGGAGCGGTCCGCTCGATCCGTCGAAGAACGACAGTGCGGCGCGCGGCGCGCGCCGCGAATATTACAATGTAATTATCGATATAATTGTTACACGCGTATTCGTCGATTACTCGGTATTTATTGAGAGGGTACATGCCCGAGAATGAGCAAAGAAATGAGCGTTCGCCCGGCGAAGAAAATATTTACCGAGTAAATGCTTTTTCGCCTTTCTCTTTTTTTTTAACACTTATCGAGGATATAGTCTTTTTTCCGATCGTTTTCTTCCGTCCGTTTTAAAAAACGATCTCGCGCGTCTCGCCGGCTGGAACGGGAGGACTCTAGGACGATCGAACCTACGGGGACGAGTCGCGGCCCTTCGCGTCCACGAGCGGGATCCGCGCCGATCGTTCGCGATACCGATCGTGTGATATGGTCTAACCCATGAAAATCGCTTAATAACTTCGTTAGCTTCGCCCGACGTCAATTTTAGTGCCTACGCGCTACGTCCGGTAAAAAAACTACTGGTCGGAGAAAACTCACGCTCGTACTACTCGCCCGATCGCTTTAATCGTGCGCCACGTCGTCGATGTGTGCCTTTTCGACGCGATTCTTCGTGATTTTCCTTGACAAAATCGAGCACATCGGAGTCGTCGTGGGAATTCGGCAAGCACCGACTTCTTCGGATCTCCCGTCGGCTCTTCGCGAGATGATTCTTCGCATGCGTCATTCTTTTCCTGTCGCTCCTTATCCTTCTTGTTCACGTCGACGATTATGCGAACGCGAGTTTCTCCCGACAGTTCGAACAAACTAACAGCCACGAACGCGAGTATCCAAACCGGTCGATGGCTTCTCTTTTCTCGCGTCTCTTTCATTCACGGTCTGAAATCGCACTCTTTTTTTTCTACAACTTTCTCGTTGGCTCAGGCGTTCGATCGATTAGTCGGCCAATCGATCGTATCGCGCCGTGGCCGATCACTGTTGCGAATATCTTCTATATAACAATCACTGAGTGTCTGATACCGCTGTTGAGTCCGATTCTTAGCTGATTTTGAATAATTGTCGCGCTTTCGATTAGAATCACCTGAATATCGCGGCGACCGCCGTCAGCAGGACGATCGTCAGGTACATCGATCGGCCGATCTGCCCGCCGTTCGCTTCCATGCATTGACCTGCAACGACAAGAGTGACTTTTGTAGCGGTATATTTGACCAGAAACAAATTTATTTGTTTTAATAAATTTTAGCAACATTTATTTTTCATAATTATAATACGAAACGAATGCGAATACATATGTATTAAACACAAACTTAGACGCAAACTTGTACCGCATGGAATCAATTCAGAACTTGAGATTTTCGAAAAAAATGATAAATGAAATTCGACTCTAGTTAATCATCTTGATATCTTTTCAAACTAACTAATCGATTTTCTCTAATTTTGATCAGCGTAAATATTTCAACTCAATGTTTAAAATTCTAGACAATTGGTTGTGCGTTATAATTAATGTCCAATTGCTCTAAAATCAAGGCTGTCAGTGAAACGGATGACGTAATTAAGGCAAGGGTAATATATCTTTCATATTTAACGGTTACTTCGCGCCTGTGAGATAGCCTTAGGTCTAGTGCCGCATAATTCAGCGTTTATCAACGCACTGTCGCAGTCTATTTGTCACAGAGAGCTACGCGAATGTCGCGCTAGATTATGCGTGGCTGTCACGCACCCTCTGCGACGAGATTTCGAGCGACGCAATGGATGACAATCGCTGACTCTGCGATTTCGATTGGATGACACAGCCCTCGCGTCACGCGCAAGTTACTGAAGTATGTTGTACGTTTTACGAAAGTTTTACGGAGAATTTCGTCGCGTCTGTTTTCAGTTAGATACTCTTTTCAGTTAGACCGCGATAAATTCACAAAGTTCAGTAATTGCAAAAATATTTTATTTTTTTTGCGCGTGTCTGTAAAATATTGATTTTTATATATTTATTGTTTGATATATTGATATTAATCTTGACGCTTGTTTTATATGATTTTTATACACCATTTGTCCTTTTTTGGTAATCCACATTTTAAAATAAATTTTGATATTGTGAATTCAATAATGGTAAAAATTTTACAGAGTAATTTAAAGTAAACAATGGGGCACTTTATTTTACCATTTTATATGGTTGATAGGTAAAATGATAGGAAATATGAAAAAATGATATAGGGACGTAGGAAACATGATAGCAAATTTATTAAATGGACAGTAATATAATGTTATAGCACTCGCAGAAATATGAATTTATATTTTCAGTTGTTCATAAATTGAAAATAATCGACTATATTTTTTATAATATTTTCAATTTATTTATAGTTTATTTATTTATGTTTTTGATAGATAAATTTATTTATAATATTATCTTTAAATAATAATCAAATTTTGAAACTGTTAGCATTCTACGGAAAATGTTTAACAAAATATCGGACAATTTAAAATTAGCACGCGTTTTTGAACATTGTTTCTGGCACAATATATTCGAATGGCGTATATATTGCGCGTACATATGTATTCTTAGCGCTGCCGGATTAACAGTAATTCGGGATGAAATGGCGTAGCGACGGAAAGCGAAAGGGTTGACGAAGGTTGCCACTTACCGGTGCTGGTAGCGTTGAAGGCCAACATCGGCGCGGGCGGTGGGATGCCCCTCTGACACGCTATGGGGCTGGCAGTCAAACTGACAACTCCGCCGCTCTCTTTGTACATAAAGCACAGTCTACGGCTGTTCCTGTAGGGCTGCGCCCTGTTGTTCTCGCTGCTCGACCACGCTGTTCTGCGCGCAGAACCCAACGGGGTGGCGATCACGAACTGCGTGCCCTCGGCGTCGAACCATCTACCGTGGCAGGAGTAGGCTGGAAGGCAGAGTGAGAGCGCGGGGCACTGCTAGAGAGATCTTTCGCGAAACACGGGGGATTGGTTGGAGAAAGTTTCGGGATAATAACGGTCGGGGCGCGGGGATGGCGTTTCGACGGCCGTTACCCTTCGAGTGCCATTATTCCCCCCTGAAATAAACTTCGACGGTGTCGAGGGTCGAGGGAATATCTACGGAGGCCGAGAAACGCCAGTCTATATGAGTAGTAGGGGGGGGGGGAGGGTGGAACGGACGTGCCTCGCGGTTCTTTCAAACAAATTCAGACATCTCGATCTTAATGCGGAATCGCGGCGAGGGAGCCGCGCTCGAGAGTATCACTTTGACCGTCGTAATGAAGTTACGACATTACCGGGATTGATAAACGAGCGCGGGGTCGTAAGGGCGTAAGTTTCGGAGCTCGATAAGACGCGCGCGTTAATATCGCCGCTTTAAACGCTGAAAGACTCGAATTCGTCATACTGTCCTCGGATGATATTATATTTTTTGCGAGCGCTGCGGCTGTCTTTGGCCAACTTTATTGCTAACATTGACTTAATTAATATTAGCTACGCAAATCTGCAGAAAAGACTCTTTATGATTGTTTGATGGACGGTTTTTATCTCTTCGAGTGCTCGGAGTGAAGTTCCTGCGAATAAAGATGTTAATCTTTTCTTCCGGCGTCGGAAAAACTAGCGAAAACCGAACACATGATTTAGCCATGCAAGTTCTTTTTATAGTCTCATCAATCATATTTTTTTTATAGACATTCGATCGATATTAATGACGGAAATCGTGAGAAAAAGATCATTTTGTGACATTCTTTAGAAGATGGTTTATTTTTAAATGGAATGTTGTGTGATGATTTATTTTTCGAGCTATCTGTATTAATTTCGAATCGATTAAAAAAAAAGATAATGAGATTGATAAATAATTAAAGATAAAGAATGTTTTTAAAATGAAGCGATAAAGATGACAAAAGATGATAAGACTTTCTTTCTTTAAAAAATTTTTTGCCAGAATAAGCAAATGTATCTTTAGACTCGGACTGAGAATTTTTCTAGCGTTAAAAAGGCAGTCTTTTAAGCCGTGTCGAATTCTACACTCGAGATCGCCTTGAAAAAATAATTCCCCGTCGTCGTTTATGGTATAGCGCTCGCGCTCAAGGGGCCAGCGCGGCACAAGGATCTCGGTGTGACGTTAAAGAGGAAGAAAAGGCAGATAATTACCGGTGATAGCGTCGTCGTCGACGCAGTCACTTTGAAACTCCATCCTGTCCGCCGTGGAGCAGCCCACGGTTAAGGTCGTCACCTCGGAGTTGCACCTCGAGTCATTCTCGTTTCTCTTCTCCCGCCTCTCCGGCGTGTCCTCGTCTGTCTCGCGCTCCTCGAGTTCCCTCTTTATCCTCAGGAGGTCCTTATAGGTCATACCTCTGCCGGCCGAAATAGCCGGCGCGAATCTCTTTTGCGGCGGATTCTCGGCCTCTAGATAATCCCCGAAATAATCGTCCTGCACCTGCTGCGTGCTGGAGGTCCAAGTATCGTCCGGATCCGCGGCCCAGGGCCATTCGATCGCGTCGACGTCGTCCGAATGGAAGTCCTCTATCTTTGGATGTCTTCTCGTCCTGTTCGTCTTGTTTCTCGAATTCACCTCATCTTTACTCCCGATCGTCCCGAGATCCCTCGCATATCTTGTATCTTGCGAACGTTTTTCAGGACGTTCGACTGCGCGCGATCTTCTCGTTCTGGAGCGCAAGTTCTCTGCGCGATGCTCCGTCGGATCGTCCGTTCTTCTGGTCTTCGATCGCAGGGCACGCTTTCGCAAGTCTCGGAACGTCTCCTCTAGCTCGGAGGATCTCCTCGACGCGGAGAACTCCTCCAGACTGTAGTCTTTGCGGCTCCGGTTGCCGCCGTGATTCGAGCGCGCTCGCCGACCCATTCTCTCGTGGATCAGGTATTCGTTGTTGGCGCGTCTCTTCTCGACCTCATAATCCAGCTTGCGGCCGCGCCGGTCCTCGTTCCTCTCCTGAGCGTGCCGCACCTTTTCGCCGTCGCGATGAATAATTAGCGACTCCTGCTGATGTTGGCTTCTACGGCTCTCGCGCGTGTTTCGTTGATTCCGATTCACGTCCGTCACCGTGAATTTACCCAAGTATGGACAGGTACGCGGTTCCGGAGAGCTCGCTGTAACAAAAAGCAGACGTAAACATTAGGAAATATTGATAGGATGTCGCATTTTCGCTTGGAAGATAACGCTAATAGGGGAAGAAATAAAATTTCGGCAAGATTATTATATGGAAAGATGCATTATATTATATTATATTTTGAATATATCAATATACATTTATTGTATATTGATATTAGACATATTTAAGATATATTTTCTTTATTTAATTGCGCACTGAGCTTTTAAACAATAATAATAATTAATATAATAAACATTGTTAAATTTGTTGGATTAGAGCAAATGATTATTTCATCAGTGTGATATTCGAGGTGATTTAATATTTATATAATAAACAGGAAATTTTTGATTGCAGAAGAATAAATTTGCGATATTATTAACGATTTAAAATATTACTTGAAACATTAATATGACTTTCATATTATTCGTGATTTACGATTATGTTTTATATTTACGATAAAGCAGCGATTTAAAAGCGCAATACACATAAGAAATGAAAAATGACCACGCGATATACGTATAAAAATGTATAAACGATACTTTTTATCACAATATTCAGCCACAGATCGATTGGGGCATTTTGTGTGAATATATAAACTACAAACGTGCTCTAATTATTATCGTTATTATGAGTTGCGTGTACACATAAATACCACTAAACGCAAATGGCATCGTGAATAAAAAAAGTCGCTGTAAATTAATGATCCTATCTACGAAAGAGAGTAAAGTACCGATATGCTCGTAATTTCTACGGCCTAAGAAGAAACTTTGAAGTTGAGTCTTAAACGGAATTTTAAATGCCGTAACTTTAGAAGTTGGGACAAGAAACTCGACGAAGGTTATCGATCCCTGCTAATGATACTTTCTTGTTAGCGAGAAAGTACGGTATATTTTAACCCGAGAGAGAAAAAAAAAGTTCTGAAAAGAGAGCCGCGGATGTCCGAGTCTATTCAGCGACTTCACATAATCATATTATATTTTATGTATTTTAAGATAGTTAAAATGTTATATAATGGTTTGGAAATTTATAAGGCTCATACTAGTCCTTTTTCTGATATACGTAGTTAATTTAAAGTAGTTATACAGTTTGCACAGAACTAGCGCAGAAAGATCGAGACAGCGAGAGAGAAAAAGAGAGAACGAAAATATAGTGTTATCTCTGCAATATTTTTTCAAAATTATTACTAAATTGTAAAACTTTGTTCAATCTAACGTCGTAAACTTTAATCTTTAACCATTATCATAAATTTTTTACGTACTAGAATAATTAATTAATAATTCTATAATTTTTATACATGCGCACATACATATACCGAGGATGTATTTTTGTTTTCTTTACAAATTTCTCTCTTAACATATATGTAATACGAGGCACGGTAAATACCGTCAATCACGCGCAAACAAGGAAAACGCATTGTGGTCTTAATGGAAGCTCGTTAGATAGTAGGAAAATAGAAGAAGGCGGCCATGCGCGTTTCTGGAAAGCCCAAGAAAGCAATGGAAGACGGCGAATGGCTATAACGAGAGAACGTAAATCGACCATAGGCAGACACAATGCGAACTCTAACGAGACAAATCTGACGACGCACTCTCGAGCGAAGGGTGCCGCCCTCTCCTGGTCCGGCGAGCTGTATTTTATCCCGATACTGAGCCTTAGAAACTCGTAGGCTAACGACCAAGTTTTGTCCGCTCTCTTTTACCTTTTACATTACAATACGTGCCTCGGGTTAATTGAAAGCACGCGATACACCATGCTTACAGAGAAGAGAAAAGAAAGATATACCGATTATCCTGTAGGAAAAATACAGCGAGGGATTTAATTGCTATTTAACGTCGAAGGGGTTGAAAAAGTTCGGACGAAGAGACTCGGAAAAATTTACATTTACTTGCACTTAATTAAAATGTACGATTTCGTTACAAAAGTAACAAGAATCTCGCTTTCTAATTAAATCTCTGGGAGATTTACTTTAATAACGACACCATTCCAGTTTATTTACTTGCAACTTAATTCGAAAAAAAGACTGCGATAAAGAATAGAGAATTTGGACGGATAATTTATTAAGATAAAATTTTTCTCTTTCTTTCCATTGGGAACTTCGTTTTTACGTTGTTGCTTCATTTTACATTATCGAATTTTATAAGTCGATCTCGACAGCGTTGTGTCGATATCGCAAAAATCTCGTTATTTTTACGGTTAATTACACACGATTTTACGGCAACGCAAAAGGCAATGTTCGGTCTCGGCGAAGGAGACTTGATTTTTCCGACTCGTTAAGCGATTCCCGGTACGAAGGACCTGCCTAAAAGGACGGTGCGCTAAGGGCGAGCTTTCGGGATGAGGAGGCTGGGAGTCAGTCCCTTTGGTCCATCTCGATTCCTTTGTGCTCGATCGGAAGGGCGAGTCACGGACTATGCTGATCGTTATTGTTGCCGTGAAGCGAAAACTTTAACCGTTTGCCGAAATATCATGAATTTCTTGAGATAATGGAGAATGCTTAGATTGCAGAAAAGTTTGCGGAGTCACAATTTTTCAATTGTAAGTTTATAATAATTTAGAAATAATAATAATTATTATTAAAAATATTCCATTAATGCATTAAAATTTACGAAACAGATAAACGCGGTAATGAATACAGATTTTACATGCTATTTTATACTTCATACGCGAAATCTATCCGCTTTAACATTACGATATGTTATCGGGGTAGTAGTATGTCGCAAATAGCAAATTAGAGATATACATATATGGGGGATTCCTTATCTCAATGCGGTAATCTACTCTGAGAATCACGCAACAATGAAGTTTCATGGGGTCTGGCTGTCCCCAAGGATACAGTCACAGACTACCGAAAGTCGTACTTTGCACGTGTTTGCATTTGTGAGTTATACGCTGTAACGTTGCCGTTTCTTGAGCACGGAAAGCGGGCGGAATGCAGGAACAAATTTTCCCCCACGTAAAAAGAGCTACCGAGCGCCGAAATCTCCCCGGGTGGTCAGCAGTAGGGTATAGGAATTTTTAATTAATTCGCGTGGTTTTACCATTACGGTGACGCTTCATCGCACGGAAGCAAATAAGCGAAAGATCAACAAGCGGCAACGAGGTAGTGGCAGGGCAAGGCAGAGGACATTCGAACGGCAATAGGACATTCGGCAAAACAACGATGGATTCCGGGTCTGGGCGGAGCAAGGGGGTGCCGAAATACACGGCGTACGGAGCTCCGAGATAACGCGCCACTGACTATAGGGGGCCTAGGATCACATGCGTAAGGACGCACGCTAATTGGTCGCGCGACCAGCGTCGCGTGCGCGGTCAACGACCGCGCATCCTAATATCGACGCGTGATCGATCGGGATCTAGGGTTCGTTCTGTTGCGTTCCGGCCGCCATCGCGAGTATACTAGCTACCTCCTGCCGCGAGACAAAAGAGAGAAAGATAGAGCGGAACAGTGGAGAAAGCAGAGGTGAGGTTGCCGCTATATTTTTGTGTGAGGCGACACGAATTTCGGCGGGATCCCGTGACGTTCGCTCGGTATTTCGTGTTATATTTTGGTGGGCCAAAGGTCGCGGCAACACGTAATACTGTTGACAAGCCCTTGTTCAATCTATTTATCTATTTTCTGTTACCCATACATGCTTTGATACGAAAATTTCACATTAAGAGTTCGATAAAGTATCTCATTCTACAAAAATTATTCTGTATACATGTTAACACTATTAGCGTTATTAATATTGATCTACTTCTTTCCTGCATTTTGTTACAGTTAAGAATCACGTGAAAGAAATTTATTCATATGCGTGCAACATAATGACACATGATCGCTTTAAACTATTATAATTATGCAAATTATATCTTTAAACATTGACATCAATGAGATAGCAATATTAAATCAGATCTAAATAATATTAATGTTAAAATAATTTAATCAATAACAGACATATTTTTTTCACGTCGCAGATATAAATGTGACAATGTCGCAATATTCAGTTTATACCTCAAGTCACTGTTTGTCATCGCGAATGACATGTTCACTTACTTTCCTACTTACTCAAGCGAGTTGCGCGTCTCATGCAATTGCGAACTCGGCAAGAACATGCACTGGCATTACACGCTATTACACATGGTAGTGCTTTGCTAACTGCAAAGCAGATGCACAGCACGTTGCGTGAAGCTCACATACGCGGTCAAGCGTATGACATCGCATGTAATATGTATTTAATTAATTCGAAATCCTAGAAATAGAATTATATCTATTATTATGCATATTAATAATTATTATCAAGCTATACTGTGAGTCTCTGTTTTGAACGCTGTTGTAATGTAAATGTATTTATGTTTTACAGATAAACTTTCGGGCTATTTCGATGCTAATGAATCGTCTTATTCGCCTCGCCGTAATTCCGTTCCGTTGTAAAGTAACAAAACGCGTGTCGCGAGTGCCGTTTAAAGTATCGCGCGATTAAGTTCATAAATAGCTTATAATTTTGCGCTATTGGTTTTTTTATTTGTGCAAGGTGGGGGGGGGCAGCTCGACAGGGGTCGCGAGTGTGTGTGAATGAAGAAGCAGAAGGCCCAGGGGACATCGGGCGACGTCGTAGCAACATTGTGGTAAGTAGTTTATCACAAAAACTGTGAACATTTTTAGTAATGGTAAAGGGCTTAGTAATTAGCTTAATATGAGAGTTGTTTTATGTAAGCTATAATTTTTATTAAAATTATTAATTATTGTATTTAATTATATTTTTCAAATTTTTATTTTTTTTATTTTAAAGTTTAAATTTTTTAACTTTAGTTTAGTTTTAGCTTTAAGAAATGATAATTGTATTGATAAATACGTGCGACACACGTTTTGGCGCCGATTATTGAAAGTGATTGGCTTATTTTTTACTTGCGTTTTTTCTTTTTTTCTCTTTTTTTTTATATATGTCTTTTAAATTTCTTCTTAGTATGCGTATAATATACATAACAATCAACAGGATTCACAAAGCCTTGTCTCGAAAGTCAAGCTCGCGATTATTTTGATCCTTAATGCTTCCTTCCAGAAAGACGATGCAACGCGCGTTAGACAGTAATTATAACGAGGATAGGAGCTTATATAATTTACCGTAATTCACTTTTGCCTCGCTTCAAACGTGCGATTTAGAGTCCCAAGCTCTATGAATCCACTATTACTCGTTTATTATAATTAATGATTATACAGTTATAAGCAAACAATGATGAACTAAAGAATTTAAATGTAATTAAAAAATTAATTTGTTTATTTTAATTCCTTATTTTTTAATTTTGACGAATCTTATTTCACGTTTGTTGCATCCTTTGCGCCACTTTGACAATGTTGCGCATTAAATTTAATTTAGAAATTTTAATTTATAAATTAATTTTTCCGACTTGTTTTTAATTAAATTTTTCAGAAGTTTTCACATCCAATATAATTCTTTAGATATCTGGAAAATTTAATATCTTTGCTATTTATTTGAGCTTTTTACAGCTCTATGTCTGACATGTCATCGATCTTTTCTACTTGAATATGTATTAGTTGTGCATTTTCTTTAATTTTTTAATTTAAATAGGACTTTGTTTAAAAATTACATTGTTACTTATATGTGGTCGTGTAGATAATATCTTGAATATACTTATATCTTACGAACGCAAATACTTATTGGCAACGGAAGTCACGCTCTCGATAATCGATAACAACCGCAAGCACTAAATTACCCAGTGCTGCTTTCCAACTTCCGCCAACTTGAAGTGAACTAGCTATCCGATCCGCTTTTGGAATGAAGAAAATCATGGAATTAACCGCGACAATTACCTGTGCCGTCTCGATAGCGGGCATCGGGTTCACGACCTCGTTCGTCGTTCCTTAACAAGCATTGCTAAATTTACACGATATCGTTACTCGAGTAAGATGATACAAATACAATCGAAGTAGCCCCAAGCATTATATTTATGTTTAATCCATTACATTGCGTGAATTTCTGTCTTCATGTAAAAGTATTAATAATTTACTTTTTTATCTGAAAAATTGTTTTCTATATAAAAATAAAAAAATACACCACTTTTTTATTTTTATATAGAAAACAATTTTTAAAAAAATATATAAATATATATATATATAAAAAATACACAATTTTTTATTTTTATATATATTATATATATTTTTAAATTGTGTATTTTTTATTTTTATTTCTACATAATTAAGATTTATTTATTCCCATTTCGATTTAATTATTCTCGTTTCAACTTTAAGTTATTTGAGAAGATATTTTACATTATATATAAAGTTTGAAAACTGGAAATAAATGCAAATGAAATGATCAAAGATTAAGATATCTTTGAAATTGATTAGATTTTGATAAGAAAGCAGATTTCATCTTTTTTATTTATTATCCGAGGAGAATGTGATGCAGTGAAGGCTTAATCGTATGTCCGTTGTGATAGCAGTCCCCCTTATATCCTGCTGTCTTATTAGGGTGCCAGTTTTGACTCAAAAGCCCCGTAGACAAACCGGTACCGGTTAGTCACCGCGGCATTATCCTGTCACATCGAACGAGTCCGCGTCGTTTCCCGCTGGAGCGTGCTTCTTGACACGGCAGTTCCAAGTTTTTAATTAATCGGTCGAGTGCTGCCTCCCTCAATTTCGCTCTGTGCCTCCCTGCTCTCCCCCATTCTCTCTCTCTCTCTCTCTCTCTCTCTCTCTCTCTCTCTCTCTCTCTCTCTCTCTCTCTCTCTCTCCATCTGCCTGCGTAGACCCTTTTCAGGAAACGAAACGGCCGCCCCTAACGATCGATCTCGAGGACGATGGAAACGGATCGGAAATTTCGCTCTGTTATCGCGTGCTTGGTTTACCTTGTTCATGCTCCTCGGCGTTCGCGAGAATTTCCTTCGTTTTGCATCATCGAGAGTGCCGTGTAACCGCGGGGAATGTTACGCAATCGTATAAAAACGCTCAATGTATTAACTTAATGTATCAACTTAATTGTGATGTTATTTTTTTTTTTTTTTTGTAGACAGCAATGGAAACTTTATAGAAAATTATTTTCACACTTTCTTTGGCATTAGAGTTTTTTCAAACTCTATCTTTTTTAAACCTGTATTTTTGTTTCTTTTCGAAATGACTGAAGCTCGACTTATCTTGAAGAACGAATGTCTGTTAGAGACAAACGAATATCTCGTTATACGCGCACACTTCGGGGAGGTTGAGTTGCGCGTGCTTCGCTTATCGTCGTCGGAAGTTAAATCGAATGTATCAAATGAGCGGAAGTTTGTAAATAAGAGAACGACCGCACTTGTCTTCCGTTCGCGCGTTCCTTTTCTCTTCGCGCACCAAGATAGATACGCCGATACATCACGTACTTTTAGCTGACGATTTACATTTGCGAGTTTCGCGATACTTTTATCTGCGCGACCAGGGATATGGGGGTTAAAAGGAAAGGCGATAAAAGAGGGCGCCAATTATTCTTCGAACGAGAAGCGAGACCAACCGGCACGGCGCTCTCTTTGTTTCGTTCGTCCGGAAATGACGCCTCGATTCTCGCCAGAGCGATAAATTTCCAGCGGAAATAACTTTTGGCAGGGTAGATGGCGGCGAGAGGGACTACACGGTAAAGGAGGACAGGGGGGCGGAAGGGTAAGCGAAACCCCTCCTCGAAACACAACCGCGCGCGTTCGTCTTCGTTTGGAGAAAAAAGGTAGATCGGAAGATTCGAGGGATCGGTTTACGCCATTCGATAAATTATGGCTGTATTTGTAAAATAAATCATTTGCGGTATGGATCCGAGAAAATTTGACGCAACGAAATATCGTCATATCGAAATACGTTAAGCAGACAGTTTTTATTTCGCGTGGACATAATAATATTCAACATTTAATGCGGAAACGAATATTCAGAATTAAAGATGTGAAAAATGTGAATAATGGAATAAAAATAACTTTGCCGGTGTGATTTTAATTCATTTTACGGCAGATAAGAGATTTCGTTAATTATTATTCGTAAGAGAGATGAAATAAAACTGAATCAACTAACTTAAACTCTAACTTCAAATTGCAGTAAAATATATTATAAAAACCACCTTATACATTAAAAAAAAATGATTTAAGATTTAACTTTATGAGATCTATATCTCGGTCGTCCGGTTTTTTTCTCAGGAAAGATTTAGTTATAAAGTTTTACTGCGGTAAAAAGTTAATTCTGCATTAAATTAAGCCGTTAGACGCGGCTAAATGGGAAATGCAACATCCGTTTCTCTTCGACGTAATCAACCAATCAATCATTTAAAGACATTTTTAATTTATGTTGTAAATCATCGTGTATTCAATTTACCGCGCTGTTTTATGTTCAGAAAGAAATTAATAAATCCACTTTCAACATCTGTAGGATGCACGTAACTCATTATTTCAGGCATTATATATTTATAGAAATACATTTATACATTGCGGTGGAATATTAATTCTTCTGGCATCAAATTAAATCGTTAAACGCAAGAATTGGTAATAGAATATCCGTTGCTCGTAATATTGATTTAATTAATTAGTTATTTTTCCATCCATATTTTATTCATATTACGTGCTTCATTTCATCCGCAGTTCATGTCTACGCAAAAATCAATAAATTCTAATTTCAGTGTCGATGAAATGTATATCACTTGTCTATTATTGTTTTAGGGACTATACGTAGTCATATAATGTTGTTTTAATGCGTTGATGAATTATTCTAATTCTGTTGATATCTAATTATGCCATTAGATACGAAAAGAGGCAACTTAACACCCCATATTCATCGATTCGATTTAATAATAATTAATTATTCATTTATAGATTACTCTTGATTCGAGTAATTATTGCATGCCTAAATTATCATATACTCGCTCGTTCCGCGTGGAAAAAGGAAGCTAATAAGCTTTAATTTCAATATCCATAGAATTTATGTTGCATGTTTATTATGGTTTTAAGCGCAATATAGATAATTGTTGATTTTCATGTTGTTTTGCTGCGGTGAAAAGTTGATTTTGTTGATACCAAATTGAAGCGTTAAACACCAAAATCGAAAATATAACAATTATAGAATTGAGCCCAATTAATTAATCAATTACATTTAACAGAGAGAAAGAGAGAAAAGAAGAGAGAGAGAGAGAGAGAGAGAGAGAGAGAGAGAGAGAGAGGAGGGAAGGGAGAGAACGAAAGAGAAAACGGGACTATAGAAATTCGAAATACAGCGAAAATCTCTTCGTGCAGCTATGCAGAAAAATGGCCCATCAATTCCGCGCACAGCGTATCGTCACGCGACGCTATACTGCAAATAAACGCCGAGTAGTAGTTCGGAAATATTCTCCATCGCCGTCCAGCGGTGTTTTATCAAAGCGAAACGCGCGTATCTCCGCGAGTAAACACGGATGACAACTGGTGTAATTAAACCTGAGTGCACGAGCAGGACGTCGATCGTTACCGGCTTGATTATTATTGGCCGGGCAGCATTTCGACCTGATTCCGTCGAACGTAGCCGACATAATTTTGTGTCGCGAATATTAAACCGTTAGATATAACCGCGCGCGGCCGCCTCGACTTGGTGAAGTATCCCGCAAAATTCATCGAACTAATCGAAATTCCCG